CGAACTCTCTACATCGCTTATCGCACTCAATAGAAACACAGTGGCGTAGCGGAAAATAAGACGTAGGCATTGAACATTTTATTACTTTTAGGTTTCGGTTTGCTTAGATAATAATATATTTTTACAGACTTTTGAGTACTAAGCAAGTAGTAGTATAAGCAATTTTTGGCGCGATCATTATTTGAAAAGTTGTGGAGTTATATAAATATAATAAAAATTAAAATAATAGACACCACTAAGTTGATTTTCGCACGCACTGACAGTTTGCATTATGTTTAGCAATAAATGAACAAGAGTTTGAGGATGTAATAAGTAGTCAAGTAAACCGGAGTTAATTGATTTAGTTTCTCTGAAGACACACTTTGCTTATAAACGTAAGCTATTTAACTTGTATTCCACAACTTAACATATGCCCAAACATACATATGAACAAAACACACATGAATTTACCACATTTGTGCTGCGGAAAAAAGTTGCTTATACGCCCCCACCAAAACAATGGAATTGTAAGGTTTGCTACTCTGCTTTTTGTATTTTTATTTAAGCGATAACTGATAATTATAATTAGTTAGCGGAACTCTTGTTTGTTTCGGTTATATAACAGCCAAATATATAATCTCTCATTTAAAGAGTTTTATCACCATTTTATTATCCGAGYATTCTCTATTTATACCAACTGCTTGTTCGATTTGCTACACTCSAAGGTTTAGCTTTCGCGAATCAAAAACAGACATATTATTAGAATTCCCATCRATTTCCAGTCTTAAAGGGTCTCTGTGCCGCTTTTTACTAATTTCAAATAAGCCGCTGTTCATCAAATAAGCCCAGCCAAGCTGGCGATGTATTAATTATGGGTTGTGGGGGAATACGGCTGTTTGTTTAAGTTAGAAGCACGCAAAACAAAGTAAATACCAAAAGCACACAGCTCCAAAAAAAACAAAAAAAAACAATATTAAGAATCGCAACCAGCGTTATAAGAGATTTGTTTCGCAAGAAAAAAACAAACTCAGAAAAATTAGGGAGAATTGTGCAAACAATAATTAATATGTGTATACAAACCAATAAACAAACGCAGCGGCTTTACATACCTGCCATATTTGCTGATTTGGTTATTGCTTTTCGCTAGAAACTTATTTGTGAGTGCAAATGTACACGTGCAGAACACGCTAAGTACACATACGATAGTTTTGGTARGCAGTGAGTGCCGGCCACTCGTTTCAGAAATGAACGAACGAACTGAAATTCCAATGAAAGTTTCAAGCGGTCCCACTGCTATCGCGAGTTGTGGGGGCATACGCGCGGAATTCACAWGAATTTTTATGACACATTTGTATTTATGTGTGTGTGTTTGTGTGCAAACGCATCGGCTAGACATACAACGCGCTCGCGATCACGTATGCATTGCCAATAGTGAAGTAGAAAGAGTTGGACGCCGCCTGCGAGGGTCGAAATTAGGGAAAATAGCAGTAAATTGCATAACAGTACTGACATATAGTATGCATATGTATATATGTATTATAAATAAAGTCTCCGGAAATCTGACTGATTAAGTGCAAAACAAAATTGCTGTTTCTACTACTAAGCGAACGATTGGCAAGAACTGGCGAACGCAGCGGGTCCCTTTGGATTGCCGAAGTTGTGCAAGGCGTTGGATTAGGCGCCTCGACGCGTTTGCTAAGAAATAGGCATTTCATTAAAGCGATATTGTTGTTGTAAGCTGGCAAAAGCATTTACATTAAAATAAAACARCAACAAAAACACACACAAGAAGGTACAAGCGTCAGCTTTCGATTTGTTTGTACACACAAAAGACCTTCAAAGGACCTTCAACAGGTACAACTGTACGCACATGCCCAGCCACCATCCACCCAACCATTCGTAGAGTAACGGTATAAAAATACCATGCATGTATGTACATATGTGTGTGTAAAGCGGAGGCGACAGTSAAGCATAAAAGTAGCGCATTGGTAATAGGAAATATCCTCGTAATGACGGTCGTAAAAAAGCTCAACAATAAACAAACGTTGCTTGAATTTTATAAGCAAAGATTTTACGCACACACACACACACACACCTACTCTTAAAACTCGAATGCTCACACATAGTACATACTAAATAGATATTTTGTTTGCATTTGAAATGTGCTAGCTGATTCATCGCTGGCGTGGTGCGCTACACCGCTGTTATACATGTTTACAACACAAACGAAAGTACAATATTTGTTCAATATACACTCAGTCACTCATTCCCGATGCCAAGAACAACCGCTTTCATACGTCATACATAAGCTTATCGAAGTTCGTACACCCTCTTGATGAAGTCACACAGTCGCGGCGTGTGTGTGTGTGCCCCCACWTAGCAGCTGTTCGTTTGAGAGCTTTCAGCCGTTGAGCTTTGCCCACAGCYAGCAACCAGCATTGCCAGTTGCGTTTTTTTCTCAATCAAATTTTTTGAAAAACACTTTTCTTTAACAAGTTTTCACTTACCTACAGTTTTCTTTCACTAATTGTTTGTGCATAWAAATCAAGTTGCGAAAAAGACTTTGAATTTTTGTCAACACAACAATTTCCAATACGTATATACAGTTCAAACTTTTAATAATTATAATGAATGAATAAATTTCGTTTTGATTTCGAAAATGTCAGTTTTTCAAAGGCAATGTATACGTTTGGCTTAAGATTATGGTTAAAAGTTGTTTTGCTGAAAAGTTATTTATTCGAAAGATTTTTGTGTCGTCATGCTGTTAAGTGTCCTTAAATAAATCTACTCGTAAATGAAAATTTAATTTTTTAGATACTCTAGCGATCTTCGCTTATAATTTAGAGTGCAGCACAAGCCGTTTATTAAAAAGGGTTGAAGGAAATCCTTGTGAAGTAAACATTTTTATTACTTTCCGAATTTCGTCCACCTTTAGAATAAGAAGTTTCGGGCARACAAAGTAACGTGAACTTTGTTGAACTTCTTAACACCGTAATACTTATTTTAGTTATTATGAATCCATTACCTTGATAAAATATACTCACCTATTATTATGTACACTCAAATAATACAAATTTAGCTTAATAGATAAATAATTTAATTATTTATTGAATCTATGTTTTTAGCATAAACATGAGTGTCTTAATAATTACACACACCGACGACGATGACATTGATTATTTGTTTTGGTTTTTTTTTATGTATTTTTAGGGTGTATTCTCCGAGGTTGTGTTTTCAAAGTTTACACCGGAGCTTGTATGTGTGTTTGTTTGTAAATTAAACTGGAGGGCCAAAGGAAGAATTACAATAATCAGCGGATTTCGCAAAACCACCCCTGATGCAGTTAACACGTACTTGTCTAGAGTGTGTGGGAGTGTATTTTCGCTCATGTGCAAACAATTTCAATTTTATTTGAATCAAATCACAAACAATTATAGGCGTTTAAATAACATTTGTTTCTTTGTCTACTTCATGGTATTCTGCGTTGTTTGCTGCAAATTGTAATAGTTAAGATAGTTTTTTGCTGTTGTAAATATAATTGAAATGAAATAATGATGAAATCCTGTCGACCAGCAATCCAGCCACATATTGCGCTTATAGGCGAACGCACCACCCACCAACCCACCGGCCGAGCGAGCAATCAGCTGACACGGTACTGCGTCCGCAGTAATGGCAATGATGACGGCGTAAGCGATGAGCGCGACGAAGCATTTACCGCGGCAGCGAACACATTTCGCACGAGCTCAATTCGCCCGGATTAATGAAGGTGCAGTGATTGCATTGCCACTGACTATTCGTACCGCCGGCACCAGCACCACCAGCGGCGGCGGCCCCCGCATTGGAAGCGGCAGTTGTACTGCCCGCAGAGTGAATGCTAAGCAAGAAAATAGAAAAAGAAGAAAAAAAAAAAAAACAAGGAATCAGAATAATAAAATGGCAAAACGGCAACACCACCCACCGCGAGCACGACGATGTGCTTTGGCTTGTGGTGGTCAAGTGGCGCACTCAACTACTA